TTTTTCTTTTATAATAATTTTTTATGGTACAATTTGACGATAGTGTGATAGCATCATGTAGTACGTAGTGGGAAATTTTGGTCCTTTTGGGATATATAACATTTCTATGTTTTATGTTTTATATAACACTTTTATATATAAATAGATTATGTTTTATATAACAATATTTATATTTATATTTAGAATATGGAATTCATCTTTTTTTGACATCTGGGTACATTCTTTTGAGGTATTCTTTTCGTATTTTGAAGTATTACACTTTTTGTATTTTCAATTTTATGAAGTATTACAATTTTTGAAGTTTTTGAATTTAATTTTTATATATTTTTTATCTTAAATAACCATTCAATCAATGTCATTCAGAAATAATAATATTAAAATTAATAATTATGAAGAAAATCGTCGTCGACGCCAAAGACGACGAATTACAATGCAAAAGAAAGACTATGAAGAGTTGGAAAGAAAAGAAACTGACTCTCATAGATCTTCTGGCTTCGAAACGATCGGGGATCGTGTTCGACAACGTAGAGAAGCCAGTGAAAATCGTTTAATTAACGATTTTCTTCGAGAGAGGGAGACTGGACGTCTTGACTTAGAAAAATATCGTCAAAGACGTGAAGAAGCTATTGCCTCTCTTGAAAGAAAAAGAAGAAATACCCGCACTATTGGAGAGTACGGAACTACTTCTATTATTGGTGGTACTGCTGATAATAGAGTAGTTAGCGGAGCTAGTGTTGGTACTACTTCTTTAATAGAAGATCCCCAATTAGACTCCTCTTTTGTCCCTCCTCAAAATGCCCCCTCTGACCCCTCTCAAGAAACCCCTTATGCCCCACCTATTATAGCCCAACCAGCGGATGATACATTATCTGATGCAGAGGTTCAAGCTATTCTAGAGGAAATACTCAATGAAGAGGAATATGTTACATTAGATTTCCTCACTCTAGATAGAATAGAACCTACAGAAAATGAATTGCATCTAATCCGTCTGGCAAGAGAAAATAATACTGATGAAGAAATAGAATTCAGTATTATTAGAAGAAGAGATTTTGGGCTAGAATATACTGCGCAGGTATGGGGT